ATCTGTAAGATGATCACCCCAGCACTCAAACGTGCCCCAGGAACACTGATGTATTCCTTACATCCTGCCTCACAGAGGTTTATTCAAGGTAAACAGAGAGGCAAACGCACATAGATCATAAATCATAGAATCATGGAATGGTTTGTGTTGGAAGGGACCTTAAAGATTGATATGTCACATATGTCACCCTAAGGATAGATGTACGGGGTATGTGCCAGTCAGGACCAGGGAACTGCTCTGCAGCCCGTCTGCAATGGCAAAAATGTGTGAGCAGCACTGCCAGGAGTTGGAACCTTCCATTCCTGACCTTCCCTCTCCCAGCTTGGGCCCTGGAGCTTCTCTTGCATGTCTTTAGCACCAGGCTTTTCAGGGAGGTCACCTAAGGGTGCCAGCACCTATTTTCCTCTTGCAGGCTGCAGTTGTGCTGGTGAAGAGGTTACCATCCCCTGCACAGCCTGGCTCTCAGTGCATCAAGTGCCTCTTGCTAACACGCTCCAGCAGCTCCAGTCCCAGTGAGCCAGATCAGCAAAATCCTGATTTACTGGGAATGAGGAAGGAAAGAATATAGCCCTTAATCTTCATAAGCAATAAACCAAGAAGTTGTAGTGCTCTAAACCAAGAAGCTATAGCTTTCATTAGTGATTTCTCATATTAAGTGCTTGACTACCTACAATAATACTTGTATTCCTGGCAGCCACACTGTAGTTAATAGCCCAAGTTCAGCTGAACACACACGCCTGAGCTAAGTGCTGTGTGTGCCTAAATCCATCCCAGTTTGGCAAAGCATATGAGCATATAGTACAGTGCCAGGGAAATCAGGGAAGTGCATCTTTAAAGTCTTGGCTAAAGCTGTTTGTGCATCACCGAGTCAGAACAGTGGGAAGGAGGGGATAGTTTATGCGCTGTAATTTTGAGTTTGAACTCAGTGAACTCCAGTGGGGTAAGCAAAAGAAGATTCATTGAATTTGATGCAACCACATTTATACACTTTGATTTTAGATCTGCATTGTGTGCATTAGCTCTTGCAGACGATATATTATGGGACAGAAGACAAACCAAGCATGCAGCCCAGCTCCAGCAAAATTGAGACCCAACTGGAGACTGCTTTACCCATGCGTGGCCCATTTCAGGAGACTTGCATTCAATATCAAACATCTTCATTTTCTTCCTCCTGTTTTAAGTCAGTCTACCATTAATAATAACAAAGGCATTCACAATTGCATATGCTTCTCAAGCAGCTGAGGACAAGTGGACTGACCACATATTTCACAGCACATCAAACTAGATCTGCTACAGGATGACTTATTTGAGCTCTCACTGGAAAGTTACCTAGAGATGAAAAATAATGTTGCCTTTCTTCAGGTACTAACCCTCTATAGGCGCTCTCCCTACAAGCAGCACTGACTAAAATGCACTCAATGCTCCACTGATATCAGACCAGTTATGTTTGTAAAGTTATACAGAGAAATTTGTCTCACATGAAGGTTTGGGTCACTGTTCTAAAATCAAGTGGTGGGTTTTACCTCCCATATCCAATCTGTCTTCTTGGTTAACAGAAAAAGTCGATTGAAGTTTAAACTATTTTTAATGAACATTCATCATCATTTGAATTACATCCTACAGGGACCATGAAAAGGATTGCAGTCGGATGGTCACACCTTGTGAAGCTCCTGGCTAAGGTCACCTAACTCCAGTGTCACGCATCACCCTGGACTTGTACACACTCTCTTAGGAAAATTATCTTTTTGTCTGCATAATCCCTATCCAAAGTGAAACCATCACAGCACAAAATCAGATCCCTTTGGGTTTTGCTTCTTGCAGCACCAAATAGACCCAGTTCTGACACCAGCAGAGCTCTTGCAGGGAGCTGGGGTAGGAGTAAGCATCAGCACCCCATGTCTGTTTGATGTATCTCAGCTGGGCCACGGGTTTGAAGCATGCATCTCACCTGGAGCCCTGAGATGAAGAAAAAGCAATCAGAAAAATAGCTGATCAACAGCTGCCACCTTATGGCAACTGCCTTTCTTTTACCGAGCACCAGATCCTCTCCAGCTGAGGCTTTTCTAGTAAGTTGATTTGCAGATAAGCGAAATTGGATTTAAGTCTGTGTGTTTGTCTGCTGGGCACAAGGGGTTGTGGGAGAATTGTTGTTTATGAGTGTGGTAGCAGTGGTGTTTAAGGTGAGGCGCTAAAGACATGCAGGTAATGTTTGTGAGTGATGCTTAATGTGATAAGACTTCAGCCTTTGTTTTGAGCTTCTGTTTTTTCTCAGTGTGATTCAGCTTCTCTTTCACCTGTGTAGGACTATTCAGCGTCTCAAAGTCAGACGCTTTACTGACTTGTGTATTGCAGGTTTAGGGTCCAAGGAGGGAGCTGCAATGCAAGTAACAAAGTAGACTAATTCTGTATCACGATGGCTATTTTGTATTTTTCCTTTTCATCTTCCTACTTGAATTTCTATTTCTTTCTCAAAAGCAGCATTTTAGTAGCTGTTTTCTAATGTTGTCGAGGTCAAATAGGTAACAAATGCACCCCTAAAGCAGGAAATAGTTTAACCACTGCACTCAAGTGCCTCCTGAGAATGAGGACAGTATAAACCCTGCACAATAACGGTGGAAGCTCTTTTTCTCTTGTCAGATGCTGACGGAGGCTTGACACCACTGACCAAAAGGGCTTATGAAAGTAGAGCTCTCCTTCCTAGGAAGCGGTGCTGTATCTCGCACAGAGGAGTTTGCTTGGTACCGAGGGGTGCGGACACTGCCCGTGGTCTCCCAGCGCCGCGCTCAGCCGCTCCCGGTGAAAGCCGCTCCGATGCTTTCATAGGGAAAGCAACAGCACCTACGTGTGGCCAGCCCGAGCGCGGCGTTTGTAACACTGGGCATGATCCTACAAAGGAGCTGAAGGAGATCTCTAGGGAAAACCCGAGTCATAAAATCGGGATACCGCGGGTCAGTTTTGGTCCCTGCTGTACAAAAAAAGATGGGGACACGATGGAGAGGGCCCAGAGAAGGACCACAAAGATGATCCAAGGACTGAGAAGCCACATGAGGAAAGGCTGAGATGGGTTTATTCAGCCTTGAGAAAAGAAGGTTTAGGGGAGACCTTAACGCAGTGTTCCAGTGTTTAAAGAGTGGCTACAAAGAAGGAGGAGACTCCCTTTTTGCAAGGAGGCACATGGAAAAGAAAAGGCAGGACAAGGTGTTATACAGGAGGTAGGCCAGTCCTTTCTGATACTTCAGAAAGGGACAAATGGTCTCAGACCATTTGTTATTCTGTTTGAAATATGCTGGGATTGTTCTCATCCATATTCCCCTCTTTCACACTGCACTATTGAGGAGATTTATTTCCTAGGGGCTATTTTTAGCCATGGCACTGCAGTTAAGCCAAACGAGCCTGGCAGTGATGGCTCCCTCACTGGGTTGCAGCTCTGAGGTGCAGCCGCTGGTCAGGCATGTTGAGCAGCGTGTTCTGCAGCACATCAGGCACTCGGGCTTCATCTAGGAAGCACCAGGACTGGAAACTGCTTTTTGCTTTCTTATGGCTCAGTCCAGCAGAGCTTGCTCCCTTTTGGATGGTCAGCTATGTACAGCCATCCCGATGCATTGTGTGATGGGTCCCCCTTCTGAGCTGCTGCAGCTGGGATCCACCAGCCAGAATGCTGGCGTGATCAGCCGTGACCTACTGTAATCAAAGAGAGCTGGCACAGCAGACACCCACTGTTGAACTCTTGTGTTAGATGAGAAGATGCCGGAGTTTCTCACAGACTGATTTCAGCTACGAAGCTGTAGCTACAGGATGGGCAGGAGGGAGCAGTGTTGGGCAGCGGAGGGCTCTGGGATACCAGCCCTGGGAATAGTGCCAGTGCTGGAGCGAGCCTCTGCTATAAAAAGCCCCAGTGTGTGTGCAGACGAGGTTCCCAAGGTGGAGTGATGCTCCTTCTTCTGAGCAGGGGTGCTGGCAGGTGGAATTAGACCCTGGCAATCCTTTGGCACAGGAATATTAAACAGTGAAATGAGCTGGGAGGAGGGAAGAAATAATGGTATCAAAGCCAAGTCCCCTCATAGACTTCAGTTTTCAGCACTCTGACCTCAGACATGGGCTGCTGTGAGCAGGTCTGGCTCAAGGGCAGGGACCTGGGAATACAACAGCATTAATGTGAGGTCTTGCTGCAAACAGGCCCTGGATACAGCCTTCTTGGGGTGTTTTGAAAGTATCGTCTATTTTCACTCTATTTATTTTCTCTGAGAAGCTGCAGAGATGTAGGAACATGGAGACTTTTCTCTCTCCAAGAGATTGTGTCTGCAGCAGCATGGAAGGTGGTGCAGTAATCTAGTACCAGATTTGACAGTTTGAAAAGTCCCCTAGGAGCTGGCTCGATGCCTATCTAAACTAAACACTTAATGGCATGTATCTTCCAGCTGCAATATTGGACAGACACCTGAAACCAGCCTGGAGGACTTTAAAGGAGACAATTCAGATTTGGCAAACTTGCTGGTACTAAATAAATGCAAAGGGGAAAAATCTCACAAACTCTCTTTTGTGAGAGCAGTGTTGCCATTTGAGGACAAGTTTAAAAGACTTAAAGGAATGTAAAATCCCATATCTCTCTCAGCATAAGAGCTATACAGTATTTAGTACTTTGGTACTAAGTTTTTGTAGTGCAACGTGATTGAAACCTAAGACCATAAACTCTATTGCCTTTCAAAGACGCCTGTGCTTCTGGGGTGTTTTGGAGGGATTTTCACAAGACTTTTGGTTTCCCAGCAAGCATGAAATGAAATCCCAGCTCTGAGCATCATTGCTGTGGAGGGGAAGTGTGTAATCAAAATCCTCAGCCTGTCTTGAAAAATCTCAGCCTCATCAAAGCTACAGCCAATAGCCAACTGCCTGGTCTGCTTCAGATGTAGTACATGGTAATGTAACAGGCACAACATGAGGGTCACACACATGCCTCTTGTGTTTTGTGCTCCCTTCTAAGCATGCCTCTTGCAGTGCCAGGCTTGGGATTACTTCTCAATACAAGCTACTTCTCAGCTAAAAAGCCATGAAAGCAGATGGTGGGGAATGCAGCTGATGTTGGCCTTAAAGCAAGTGGCATGTGTTGAGGTCCGTGGCAGCAGGATGGCCCCATGACATATTTCTTACAGCTTAGATGCACCAGATCGCATTCCTGCTGACACGTAAAGCCCTTCTCCACAGCTCTGGCAGTGCTAATTGCTGGGACAGCCTAATCTTTTCCTAAACCCTTCCTGTGCTGTAATGCTGGCCAAAACCTTGGAGTTTTGTGTGGAAGGCGTGAGCATGTTGACATAGGGTCTGTGGTGCTCATCAGCATCACCTCCTGCCCTTTGTCTGCCTTCCTGGTATCTTATACATCTGGGTTTTATGGAGGAGGAGAAGGAAAGGTGGTCTCTCTAGCACAGTCTCGAAGCAAGTGCTGTGTAGGCAATGTGTGGCTGCTGTGTGTGTTCCTACTCGCTCATCAGCTTCAGAGGTGTAAATCTGGAAGATGCAGAAAGTACTTGCAGGTTTTGTGGCTGGGCAGTGGGGCACTGCTGCCAGGCAGGGAACAGTCACATCACAGACTTCACCCTTTGTTTTAGCAAGCAGAGGGTCCATGTAGGAAAAAGAAATGAGTGGTGCCCAGGCTACAGAAATGCTGCAGTCGTGTTGCACCTTCTCGCATGTGGGAGATTGAAAGAGGACAGAGCAGCTTGTGGGAAGCAGGATCCTAGAGCTGAGTTCATGCAAGGACTGGCTGGGCAGCATGTGATATGATATGGTGTGACATGTCCCCGTAATCCTGATATGGAACTTGATAACAGAAGTCTTTAGTTCACTTTAAAAGCCCTTCTGTAGCACTAGTGCAGGACAATAAGGTCTTAGTTGAAATCAGAACCAGTGAGAAATTACCTTGCAAATTACTTTCTCCCTGATTTGTTTCTGTATTCATTTATTAATTACATAGCTCGGTTCTCTTCAGCCCACGGTCCCAAACCTACTTGAGGAAGGGAGATTCTGCAAAATGCCCTTAGATGAAAGCTGGTTTGATACCAGCCCAGTAAGGAAAGAGATATTCCCTGAGCAAGGAGGATGTTTTCCTGTCAATGTAGCATTCAAATTTAGCTTCTGCCACTGTAGGCAACGTGGCATTAGAAGAAGGAGCTTAAGTTATTAAACTGAGCTGCTTTAATCATCCAGTTCAGGGAAATCCATTGCTACAGGAGACCTGAGGATTAATGTATTTTTACCGCAAAGCCAATACATCTATTCTGATCAGTTAGTGATTGCTCACTCGAGCATATGAAACTTCATTCTCCGGGTTTGCACTCAATAGCATGGGACCAAATGGAGTTTTATTTGGAGATTGACCCTGTTACCTTGAATCTCATAATTCTGGTAGCTAGTTATGTTATTTTGCTTCTGGTTTTCCTGATCTCCTGTGTGCTCTATGACTGCAGGGGGAAGGATCCCAGCAAGGAATATGCTCCCGAGGTCCCTGCAGACACCCAGCCTCCGATCCGGTTGGTGGTGATGCAGCAGGGCTCCCCCAGCACCCGCTGGGCAAAGGGGTTCATCTCTGCCTACGAGAATTCCTCTGATCTGCCAGGGAAAAGGACTACTGTTGTGTAAGGGGACCTTGCCTCGGAGCTCGGGTTTCTGCTGATCCGCTTGCCTGCTCTGCTATGTTTACTCTCCGTGTGCAGAAGGATAACGTGTTCACAAGGTAAGATGAGATGCTGATTTATTTGATACGGTGCCATTGTCAGGGGGTCATTTTACATTTAGCTGTTTTCTGCACTGATATAGGCTTGCAGTCCTGCCTGCCATCCATGAAGAGACTAATTTCCATTAGCGCTGCTGCTGCCTTGCAGCCCTCTAGCAGTCAGAATCAGTGATGCTGTATCGACTCAGGCACTGAAAAAGGGCCTTGGTTTAATCTGGAGTCGTGCTTGCTACTGTTGGTTTTGCAGGAACACGGTGTTGTTCAAAGCATCCCACCTACAGCACTGCCCTGTAGCCTCAGCACGTCTTCTTCAGCCAGCAGAGAGCAAATGACCTTGGTAGGCTGTTTATCTCTCCAGTGAGAAAAGAAGCACAAAGGATTTCAAAGGGATAGAGATAGTGCCTGTCTGATAGAAGCCAGCTGCTGCTCCCATCAGAACTTAATACTTTCCATATTGTCCCCAGAGGGCAGTGCCAAGCCTGTCTTGGCACTTATTTTCCATACGGAGAACATGAGCTCTGCTCTTACCGGGCAGAGTACCCCTTGCCCTGCACAAATCCCCTGATAGGATACAATATGCTTCCTGGAAAAGCTGGGTACGATGCTTCCTGCCCAAGGGAAAGTGTGAACCAGGGTAAATGTACCAGTAATGCAATATGTGTGAGTCATTGCTGCTGTCTGCCCCATGAAACAGGAATCTCTGACCCTTTGCAGCAAGTCTGACCTACGTCCTCACTTTCAATGTGCATCTCCACGTGTCTGACCCTGCTTCTTGTCCCCAAGTCTTCTTTCAGCTGTATTGTGCTCCACTGGGCCACATGAAGGCTCTTATTGTATCTCCAGTAAATCTACTCTTTATCTGTGTCACCTCCTGTTATTCTCCCCATCATTTGGGAGCTATAAGCTAGACATCTTTTTTGCCTAATATGTTTCTTCCATGTCTTGCTGGTTTTCTCCCTGTAGGTGTTTGATGGACTAAAGTTCGCATCTCTTGAAAGGAAGGAAAATGCTTTCTTTGTCCTCCAGGTAAAGCGCAAACGGACAGAGACAAGAGGATTGTTGATCCTGTAGCCACAGAAGTGGCTGCAGTGTTATCTAGCTGTTCCCAAGCACAGCCAGCTCAGGTCCTGCTCTGTCCCCATCAGGCTGGGCTGCAAAACTCACCTGAGAAGCTGGGGAGACGCTGCCTGGGTTGGTTCCTGCTGTGTTCCATGCTGGCAGAGGCACTTTGTCACTTGTGGCCAAACCAGATTTTAAAACTTATCTGGCTACAGGGAATTTGTGGCTTAAATTGTTTTTTCTACCCAAACATGCTGTGATCAAGCAAAAATCTGAAATTTCTTTTCTGAAATCCAGAGATGTATAATGCCAGCTTCCTGTGTCCCTCTGGTTAACACAGAGTTACTGTGTGTGGTACTCTTTAACTGCTGAATTTTAACTGGTTATTAAGGGAAAAATAGTGCTGGACCCACACAGTTCAAGATATTTGTCCCCTATGCTATTTTACATCATCCTAATGTGAAGTACCCTCAGAATCCTATAGAAAGCTTCAGTAAACATGCTGAGATTTATTACCTGCCTACATCAGGTGTCATGGATGACTCACTGGACGCAGTGGTCCTACTGCCTTCAGCACAGGCATTTTAAATACTTCCAGAAATAAACTGCAGTGAATTCAAACCGCAATCGAGCGAAGCTCTTGTTCAGCAGGGTTGCATGCTTTGTACCTCAGCTAGGTGGTAACCATCTGCCTGCGCTACATCCCGAAGTGGTGATTTATGCATCAGCCAGCAGAGCATCCTGGTACAAGCAGAGAAATCTCAAGTATCTTTTAATGTATCTGTATTTTTAAAAGCAGCCAGTCGCTTTCATTTTGGTTTCTAAATTCTTAGGGTGAGCCTAGTATTGTATTCAGTCTGTCCTCTGCACCCCTGTGAGTTACATATACCCCTGGTTTTGGAAGGAAGCCTGAACTGGAAGGAAGGCTTCTGGGAAGCTTGATTAAAACCCTTGGTGTGATGAAACTGGTAATAAATCAGAAGTTGGAGGCATGATCCTTTGCCACACAGACTGCAATAATTCCGTTGAATGTCATGTTTTGGTTATTTAGCAGTGAAAAAGTTCAATTAGTAACCACAAGTTGTAGCTGCTTTGCCAAAACTTGGCAGTGACTAAGCTGCTGGTATGTTATTGCCACTGTCACCGACGCAGGGCAGTGTTATCTTTTCTTGGGCTTTCCTATCTGCCTTATCTTTAGCTTGTAAGCTCTTGAAAGCCTTTTGTGTGTTCATATATCATCTAACATGGTAGGAGCCTTCTCAGTGATAAGCGATTCTTGGTGTTAGGGAACAGAATAATAATCTTTGCTAAGAAGACCTTGGGGGATGAAAACCAGCTCAAAAATATCACAAAGTGTGTGGCACAGCTCTCTTCATTGGTGGTGAGATGTCATATAACATGCCACAATGCCAGAGAAGAACTGTGCGGTTCTTTGACAAAGGTCGTGCAAATAATGTAATGATACCAGGACACATTTTGTTTCCTTTCAACCTACTGGAGTTAGTTCATAAAATGCAATTCAGGTGCAGCCCCTGCACGCCGGTATTGTAGTAACCCCCTTAGGAACCACACTAATGTCTAAGAAGAAAGCAATCTCATTGCAGAGAAGGAAAGATTTAACACTGAGCAGACAAAAGGGGTGAAGTGGGAACTGAGCTGCCCAAGGATCTTTACCACCCTGTTGTTTTTCTAAGTAACAGTGCAGCGATAGAGGCTTGCAAGGCTATGTGAGTAAGTACTTTTACACAGCTGCAGTTCTCCAGATCTGCAAACCTTTTGTGTGCACCAACCACAGACTCCTGGCTCCAACAACTCAATGGCAAAGTCATTGATTTTCAGTGTGGGCAAGTTTCTTTGCTTAAGCTTTAAGCAAGCAGCTGGAGCGCGCAGGGGGGCTGCAGGCAGGGGGGCAGCTTCTAGGAGCACAGTGTTCACATCTGTGGAAATTTATCAGTTGTGATAGAGTTGGTGCACTCTGCCCTGAAACATGGAGGTAGAAGCAGTACATGACACTTTCCTCCTGATAGTATCTCTACTGTGGGTAAAATCCCCTTCCAGAAAATGAGAGACTAAAGTGCATCAGGACTTCGTCTTTCCAATGGGAATAAAATGGCTTTCTTAGTTTTGTCTCTACTAGAATAATATTGCTGTGTGAAAGCAGTTGGAGAGCCCTTGGGTATGTACAGAGAATTGCAAGTAATCAAGTCGCTGTGAGTGAAATTACTGCTTTGCAGTACGTGGGTCTCTGCTACAAGGCTTTACTTAATGACTGTGGCAGGATTAATGCATGCAAATGGCCTCTTATCAGGCCAAGCTTGGAGGAAATCACCTGTGAAGCTGCATTCCCTCCAGCATTTGCAGTCCTCTGCCACGTCCTTTGCATCATTGTGAGAAACTGGGCACAAATATTCTTGTAGCAGTGCAGCTATTTTCCCTAAATTGTGCCATGTAAAATGTGTGTCCCCTGCTGGAATTCACACAGCCTAAAAAGCATCCTGAAGCAAGGCTCTGCCAATAGCTGTAACAAACCAGCCACTCAGGGAAGTTGTGCAGAGACTGAGGTATCCCTTTGAGGTATCTGCAGCATCGTGCAAGCTCTGGTCCACGGCTGGCAACACGGGGGAAGCACTGGGATGGAAATGCTGTTGAGATCTACAGCTGCAGTAAAACAGCACTCCTGGAGCTCTTCACATACTCTGTCTGGCTCTTACATTGCTGTTCAGTTGATCAGGGTCTGTGCCTATGTAGAGGTGTTTTGCTGAGAGGATTAGGTGGTATTTTAAGGCTTGGGTATCTAGCATAGAAATACTGTTCTGACGTACGTGCCATGTGCAAATAAGATGTTGGTAAGAATTGTGTTAACATTTATTCAGAAGCAGTATGATCTGGAGAGTGTTGGATGAATGAGGATTTAGGAAATATGCTCTGTTCCCAATTCTGCCCCTGGCTTGGGCAGCTCAGTTCCCACCTTGCCCCTTGTGTCTCTGCTCTGTGTTAATTTTCCTGCTCTGCTGTCCTCTGTACTGAGATTGCTTTCTTCTTAGACATTAGTGTGGTTCCTAAGGGGGTTACTACTAAACCGGCGTGCAGGGGCTGTACTTGAATTGTGTTTTATGAACTAACTCCAGTAAGTTCAAAGAAAGCAAAATTAAACTCCAACAAAAAATGACTGGAGCTGGTGGAGCAGCAAAACTGGAGAACAAACCATGGTAAATCCAGGGAAACGATGGGCACAGAGCCTCAGGACACTTGCTTTGCGTGAGCTCTGGTCATCGTGGCAGTCTGATGATCTGTAACTGTGGCTTGAAGGGAACTGACTGGTGGTGGAAGGATTTATTGCTGTTCTGCAGGAAGCAGGATTTCAGTCTGCTCTGGCTCGCTTTCAATTGGCTTTAGAGCCCTTTTAAAGTTACGTATTGCTGCTTCTTGTAAAGCCTTTATTAAAGGGCTTCACAGAAACAACAGCAAAAAACCCCCAAACCAACCAGATTTCTAGATTTCTCCGACATGAATTCAAGTCAAATGTGTCATTAAATTCACTGAAAAGACATCTTTCATGTGAGCCTGTTCCACTGTAAATATACATCTAAGCCTTCAGGGGTTTTTAAATCCCTAATAAGCCACTGCATATGAGTAGGGGATTAGTCCAGACAGACTTAACCCATACCCACAAGGGAAAATTCCTTCCCCTGCAATAATTTTATTCTTTTTTAATTGGAAAAGGGATAAATCTTCTCTTCTTCTTTTTTTTTTTTTTAGCACATTGTTCTTGTGGTACAAATGCTCATCCTCTGATAGTGCTAAGTATAGAAGCACAGCAACACATCCAAGTCAAACCCCTTGGCTCTAAGAAGAGCTTAAGAATAGTTTTTATTGCCTAGAACCACATCGCCTTGTGTTATCAGCTATTCAGCTTGCGTAATGCTGGTGCTTTTGTGGGAATGCCCAAAGAAGAACTGATATTGGGCGTTTAATTGGAAATACTGTTCTCCCAGCCATAAACCTATACTCTTTGTACTTAGGGGAGCCTTACAGCCCAGCATGCCATCTTTTAGATGGGTTAAAACCTCCAAGCCCTGTCTCCCAAGCTACCTTTGTCCTTTTTATAAGGCAAAGCATCAACCTGTCTCCTGCTCCTGCTCTAGCCCAAATGACTTTGTGAGTCTCCCAAGCATTTGACTCCCTGTGCTGAATTTCAGGGTCTGGGTGTTGAAAGAAAAACACATGAGTACTGCTGATGTCCCTAAGGGACTGCTGCAGCCTGTACCCAGAATAGCTGAATTTCAGTGGGGGGTGAAATGACAGCCAGAGCCATAGTGAGGATAAACACATGAGGAAGGTGGGAGGATGTATGCTGGGGTTATTTGGTGGCTGCTGCTGTCCAGGAGGAAAGCAGGGTGACTCCTGGGGCATTTGTCAGGGCTCTGGGGTAGAGACCTGATCCTTCATGCTTGAGTGGCAGAAAGCTGAATTGTTCATAAGTAAATTGCTCTGACATTCACAGCAGGAAGCTGCCTAACTTAGTAGAAAGTCACACCAGGAATATAAAATGTGGGACAATAGATACGGCTGCCATCTCTAGCTGCAGTTCCAACTCCTGGTTTTGCTGCCTCTCTCCCTCCATCTCACATGTTCCTGTTTCCTTGGAGATGCTGCTGCTTCATTTCCCCCTCTAATAATGACACTGTTTGACATTAACCTTTCAAAGAAGCATTTCCACCCTGATGTGACAATTTGGGTGCAGCTTTTGGAGGCAGATACTTGTCATGAGACATCCAGATCCAGCACTGGATTGTTCAACTTGGATAGGTCAGTCTCTTCCCAGCTCTGCAGCAGATGCTCTGTGTGGGCAATGAGACTGTGCCCTAGTTTCTCCATCTGTCAATGGCAGTAATAATTGTTACACAGCTGGGTGTTGGGTTGATTTAATATTTATGAAGGAACATGCAATCCTTTCACGGGTGGTGCTACAGAGATGTTGTTAATTATGAATGATTATGTATTTGCATCTCTTCCTGAGCACAAGGAGACTTGGACATATTGTTTAAACACCCACATTTCACACTCCTTCAGTATTGAAGCTTATTAGGCTCTTCATTACCCTAAAAATACACTGAACTTAAGTGCTATTGACTTCAGCATGAGCAAAGAATATAGGCTTAGCATCCACCTCTATTTGTATTAATAAGATTGCCTAAATTATCAATATATTTTAATATCCCCACCACCTTTAAATAAAATAAATGTACAAATTCAGGCCAATTCTATGTCAAAACCTTTGAAGAAAGGGATGGGAAGGCAGGAATCGGGCACAACCTTCACCTGAGCCTTCTCCAAATGACACAATGGAGATCTGAAGTTCTGCGGGATTAATGTAGTTATCTCAAGTCTCTTGCTGGAAACTGGGCATATATAAATCATATCTAATAAGAATAAGGTTGGTAGAAAAAAGATCTGTGAGTAGCAGTGCTTGATTGAATGTCTGCATGTGCCATGGTCATTGGGTATAGCCACTATACCACTTACCTTCCCTAACAACAACAAAAAGACAGTACTTGATGAAAGCATATTAATAGTGCTTCTTGGAGGGGATTTGTTTCTGTTCTCTGAATGTTCTTTTTGTACGTAAGT